TTATGATACTGTGGGCCTGGGGAGAGGCTTGAGTATTATGTAACAAGCCCACAAGCAATCCTGGTGCTCAGTCAGACGCAGAACCACTGAGGTCAGTGATCAGACAGCATCCAGAGTGGGGAGGGCTCTTAAATCCACATTTAAATGTTTTTTCCTGGGAAAGAAGAGGGAAGACATTTCTCCTCAACTATGAGACATGATGTTAGGTGATAAATGTCATTTTCTCTACCATGGAGTATAGCCAGATCAAAGATTTAGGACATAGCTCTCAGCTGAGCATAATGAAAAATCTCTGAATGCTACTCTCTGAAACAACTCCCCAGACTTGTTTCTCACTCACTTCTTGGAGCAAAACTGGATTGCAAGTTTTTCTAATTTAAGCATAAAGCAATTTTTATAAATGGCATGGACCTATTTTATTTTGGGGAAAGACAAACAACAAAGCTTGAGGCTATATGGCCAGGGACAAAATCCACAATCCCAGCCTAGGTGGGGTCCCACGTAGGAACGTCTGCCCCTGCTGCTGCTCATGGACATAGAAGTTGTTTTTATCATGAGGGCATTTGACAAATCTGAAAAAATACTGCCTTTGGTTTTACCACTGACCATGATGCTGGACACCGGCCCCTACAGCTAAGACTGCTGTCACTGCTGCTCCTGGAAACCAGACATTGCTATGGCCACACACACCATCTTTACCAAAATGCATTTTGCACTGTCCCGCATTTTCTGTATCACCATGTCCTGGTCAGAGGCTGACATGTTGTCATCAGACTGGTAGAGGTGAAGCATCATGCCATGTCTAATTGCAGTAATATTGGGGAAAGTGAATTTTCCTTTATAATNTGAAGCATCATGCCATGTCTAATTGCAGTAATATTGGGGAAAGTGAATTTTCCTTTATAATATAAGGAAGTGTTCTCTACCTACTACTTGTTAGGCAATTATGTTTTAGCCGATGTCAAAGACAGCAGCGGGTGGACAGGAGGAACATCCAAAATGGCTGCGGAGAGTTTCAGGTCCCTAGAACAGCATGCTTTCCGAGAATCACAAAAAGACCCCTCCCCCTTCTTATTCACCACCACATCCCCTTCCCGTGCACGTGAATTTCTCCACTTATAGAAAAACCCCAACTCAGCTTAACCCTGCCCGCTTCCCTCCCCTTCCTTCTTAGCCAATAGGAACAGCCCAGCTCAGCCTGACTGGGTATAAAAGGCCCAGCCCGACTCTCCCTGCTGCTGCTCCCACTCCCGAGAGGGCAGCCGTTTGTTCATTTGCCTGCCTGATACACTTCGGGTGAGTCCCTGTCTCCTGGTGCGTTTCTTTTGCGCTTGGGCCGGGGTTTTTTCCTTTCACTACCAAGACTCTTTAAATATGGAATTTTCCTAGTGTAGGAAGAGAGTTTATGTGCTGGAGGCAGGGGGGTAAGGAATGGGAAAAAGAATGTCAAATTTCAATACCTGGAACAGTGATTTGAGACTAGAACTTCATCCCATACAGTATATGCAGCAGGGTTTTGTNTTTGTATAATATGCACATATTTCTAGGGAGAGTATCTCTTTGAGTAGCATTTGTATTCCTGCATCTATCCTGGTTTCAGGTTACACCTCTCACTATGTAATGGAGACCAAAAAAAGATAACTGAAAGCAACATGAATGCAGTGAGAAGCCTGAAGGGACTGCACCTCAACAAGTCCTCTGTTGGTTGGAGAAAACTGGGTACAGACCTGATTCAAAGTTAGCTTCTGTTTTTATTGTAAAGACAACAAAGTTTCA